ATACTATCATGCTTAATTGGATTCAACATACATAATTCGTGAAGCGGCTTGTAATTGTAGATCATGACGCAAATAATCTCAACTTCATTTCAAAATCACTTGAAAAAAAAAAGGATACTTGGGAGTTTTACGTCAGTTTCCAAACAACACTGAAATATAATCATAGACGATTTGTAAGAATCAGTTATGCTATCAGTTACCAATGTAAACATACTGGGTAAAGTTTTTAAAAACCGTTACACAAGCAGTCTGTGAAGATATAATCAGACTCAAGTTTCTATACAATTAAGCTATTCTTTCAAGTGTTTTTCTACGCTGCAGTTGGTTTTATTTTACTTTAAGAACAACGTTTCGGCACTGTGTTTGTGTTTGACTTAATCAAGTCTTAAAGAAAACAAAATTTAGCGTGTCGAATCGCTGCTCTTGGACTAAGGCAATTAAAGCAGGACCTATTTTAAAAAAATAAATATCAAATAGCTCTAGAACTGGTAAAAAATTGTCAGAGTTTATTACTAAATATAATTAATTAGGCTGGTTATCGATGTGAATGTAATCCTATATGATTACAGAGTTATGCTGTGGTGAATCGGATGATAGATTTCGTTTGATATTTATATTTAGGATATTAAACAGATCGTATGCTTATTCATTCCGAAGACTTTATTAGTAGCATCAGAACTACACATTTTCAAATCCTATGTAAATACAGGTTCACTGTTCGAATATAAAACAGCTCCAAACACCTTATACGTACAATTAGAGTCCTTATTAAAAGTAGATTAATTCTTGTTTTTTGATAAAATGAGGTTAGTTATTGGTTTTATTTAAAGTAGGCCTGATTTTAAAATAAAATTAAGTTCGTCAGTATAAACTTAACCCAACTCGATTTTAGAGTTGAAGGCTAGTTACTAGCTGTTAGACTCAAATTAACTTTGTCAGTATAAACTTAACCCAACTCGATTTTAGAGTTGAAGGCTAGTTACTAGCTGTTAGACTCAAATTAATTTTGTCAGTATAAACTTAACCCAACTCGATTTTAGATGTTGAAGGCTAGTTACCAGCTGTTAGACTCAAATTAAGTTTGTCAGTATAAACTTAACCCAACTCGATTTTAGAGTTGAAGGCTGGTTACCAGCTGTTAGACTCAAATTAACTTTGTCAGTATAAACTTAACCCAACTCGATTTTAGAGTTGAAGGCTAGTGTCGAGCTGATAGACTCAAATAAAGTTTAGATTTTCTTTTAAATCGATATGTCGTTGAAGTAATTATTTTATATTTAAAGACAGGATTCATATAACACATCGCTCTTATGTCATCTATAAAATTACATGTCAAAGGTGTAACCTTGGCTATGTGGGCTCTACAAATCGTTGTTTGAGCTCACGAATTAAAGAGCATGCGCAAAATACAGTATATAATCAGTCAGCCATTTTTCGCCATTGCTTACAAGACTGTGACATAAATGTTACATTAAATCACTTCAATATCTTGAGGAGTGTGATTAGTAAGGAAATGCTCCACACAAAAGAGAATTTGGGGATACACGATGTTCACCTGAATTAAATGTTATTAATATACTCATTCTAGCTAGCATTGAAGACATAAACACGTTTCTAACATAACAGTCATGAGATTATTTATCCATTTAAACATAATCTTATTGGTTGTAATGTAAGATACATATTCCAAAGTATTGTATCTAATTTAGCTCAGATTCGTTCACAGCGTTACATATAATAGTATGCCGAAGCATATCAACACAGTAATATATATATATGTACATAATATAAAGTATTTTAACTCCTTAATAATGTTACTATACTCACATATTAGCACAATAACACTTGATATTAGTGAGGATTACGTTAAAGCACTGTTAAATTGTTGTTGTGCAAATCAATAACACACACTACACTTCATAAGTTATATTAACACACTAAAAATATTAACATGTTAAACATATGTGTGGCCCAAGAATGTAGCTCTCATTACCAAAGAAAATTAAACAGTTATAAAAGCGAACAATTTCAAAAAACTTCAAAAACAAAACATATCTAAAATTTATCTTATTCCACATTGGTGGAACCAACTTAACAAGAACCCAGTTTTTCCATGATGCGGTAAAATAACAGCCAGTAAAAGTGATACAACTTAAAAAACCATCATTTTCAACCACCTAGAAATAATAACCTTGTTACTTTTACAGCTTACGCTTTAGAGTGGAGACTTTATTAAGAAGCGTAATTGAAACATTACACAATCCATTTTAAGTAGCTCAGTTAATAGAATTGTTATAACGTCTGCAATGCTACCCAACTTAGTATAGGTACGTATCTATTTGATTATGTTTTCAATTACTTGAAGTAATTGCACTCATTTGTATATTTATTGAAATTTACAACACGCGAACCTAAATACGTAGATAGATATATATAGATAACTGTATGTGAAAACATTTTGTACATGATATTGTACAGAAAGGGGAGTAAGATATATTAAAACGATTTTAAATATGCAAATCAGCAAGTCATGTGACAATCACATTCGATATAAAGCCGGGGTTTAAGGCCATGCATAAGGACTATATACTGATATTATTTGGTATTACGTAGATAATGTGAAAATGTATCACTTTTAGGAAAGGTATGTAACATCCCTTTCCGACGCAGACTATTCATACCCTCAGATAATAAATATGTCTTCACATCGTGGATATCACTTGTACTTAATAGCACTGGAAGAAAAATAAACAAATGAAGTTGAGGTAAAAAAAAAAGATACCAATGAAGTTGGGATACCAGGAACATGCAGAAAGAACATGCAACAAATTGTACCCCAGCCATGTGAAGCTAAATGCACTATCTTGTAACAGGTGAGAATCCACAAACACCGAAATCAGTGACGAAAGCCAATCACACCCCCAAGCAACAGTATGCCGACCACGTTTCCCAGGCAACATTACGCAACTTAATCAAGAAAGACCTCCATCTGAAAATTCAAAATAATTTACGTATAAACAAGTTGCCTCGACGACATATCCGTTCAAACATCGTAGCTGGAGAGCGAAACGGGTGTTCATGTTATTCAGAGTTAGTACCGTACAAGTATTCCTGCGTGAAAAGAGTGTTTAAACCGTCGTCTTCTTGCGTTAGATGGATTAAGGAAGGACGGCATGGAGAAAGGGTGTGACTTCCTTACGATTATCTTCTGCAATGGAAACTACGCTGCGGCGCTATTTTCAAGATGCATGGTTGTCAGATAGAGCATCACTGTACGTGTTGACGTGGACTGTAATGACGTGGCGAAGCTCCAAAATCGTTTTAATATAACGTACTCTATCTCAATGTGTTACACCTTATTAAGAATAAAGATTTACACACCATCAAGTTAATCAGGAACTATAATTAATTTCCTCAACGCATGTAAAGCTCAAAGAGTGATTATACATAAAGATCACATTTATATTAAGGAGTTTAATAACAACAGCCCCAATAAACGACTCATCAAAGAAATACCTCAATCACGTCAAATATATCAAACACTCAAACGAATAATAAGTGTGATTAATAAAATACAACAAAAGCAGCTCCGTTTTCGAAACGTTATCGAAATATTTCTTTACTATCACTTAAAATTTATTTTCCCAGCTTTTAATACTTTCAGTATACAATCGTGCTTAGCTATCTGTATTTAATAAAGCATGAACATTATAATTAGAAAAATGATCGATGTTTTATGTTACATTTTTTTTCATACAGATATAATAACACAGTAGCCTATCGTATTTTTCATACAGATATAATAACACAGTAGCCTATCGTATTTTTCATACAGATATAATAACACAATAGCCTATCGTATTTTTCATACAGATATAATAACACAATAGCCTATCGTATTTTTCATACA